AGGCAAAGTGAAGTAAAAGAAACAGCGAGCAAACAGCATACTTTATGAGAACTAAAGTTAACATTATCACAGTCAGTTTTCACTCAATGCCTTTTTCCTTAAAATCAGTGTCGTAAAAGCCTGCAGTTGCTGGAACGCTGCACGGATGGTCGGAAGTCACTTCCTGCTACCTGTTAGATCAAGCTTATCCACACTATTTTATTAACCGTTACAGCGAGTATCTAATCTTTCTATGGAGGCCCAATCTCTCAGTCCCTTGTTTGGTTTTCCCTTTTCTTCCTCTATTAGAATAGATATCTGACTGTGGTCACCACCCTTTGACTTAAGTACTGTAGAGCCTTTTCAGCAGCACAATGGTTGCTTGAGCAGGGGCAATCTGTTCTTTATTTTCTACAGTATCAGAAAAGTCCTGATCTGACACATCTGCTCGGGAAACCAGCCAAAATGTTCCTCTCTGTGTTTCTTTGTCATAAGCCCTCATTTCAATGATCCCTGTCTTTATTACAGTCCTTATGGTTCCTAGAACTGCCTGCTTCACCTTCAGAAGGGTTCTAAGGTTTGTCATTAATTGTATAATCAAAATCTTTTAAAATTAATTTTATTTTATTTTATGTGCATTGGTGTGAGGGTGTCAGACCATCTGTAACTAGAGTTATAGACAGTTGCAAGCTGCCATGTGGCACTGGGAGTTGAACGCAGGTCCTTTGGAAGAGCAGACAGTGCTCTTAACCACTGAGCCATCTCTCCAGCCCCTCAAAATCTTATCTGTGTTATACTAGCTCCCCGTTTCCCGGCCGGAAAGGCATAGGAAGAGTAACACGAAAGCCTAATGATTCGTTTATAGTTTGTCAGCTCCTAGAATTTTCCTGTTTTTCTTTAGCGGTTTTTCTCGGATCCTGTGTCTCATTAAAGCATAGGGTGCAGGGGGTCGCCCACGCCTTTAATCCCAGCACTCGGGAGGCAGAGGCAGACAGAATTTCAGAATTTCAGGCCAGCCAGTCTGCAGAGGGAGTTCCAGGACAGCCAAGCTAGACAGTGAAGGGAAACACCCAACACAAAAAGCTGCTGAAATGTATTTGAGTTCCCAGCAAGCTGCAGAACTCAGCAGCTTCGGCCATGTGGTTCTGGCTTTATAGCCAAGGGTACAAGAAAGAGGTCATGCAATCTTCCTCCAGGACTAAGAAAGCCACTGAGGCGGCCATGTGGCAGGGGTGATGCCAGGGTCCAGTTCCAGCAGGGTTCAGGTCCCGTATGGAGTCGCAGGGGAAGGAGACCCACCCCAGCTGAGGGCGAATCAGGGTAGTTTTGTTTATCAAGAAAAGGTAGGTTGTAGCTGTCTTTTGCTGCTTTGTGGGTTCTTCCATCCTTTCAACTTCTCAACACTAGAGAGGACAAAAAAAAAAAAAAAAAAAAAAAAAAAAAAAGAATTGAGAGGAAAAGGAGCACGTTATCCTTAGACTACTTCTTGCTGATTAGAAGCATCAAATTCCTTGGGGCAAATTTGATCTTCATTGTCAGGACATCATATTTCTTCTTGTTTCTTTGTGAAGGACTACTTAATAAACCACAACCAACAGCATTCAACAACAAACACTCAACACCCTGTCTCTCGGGGCCCTGGCATTTATATACCCTCTGAAAAGTTCCCAGAATTCCAAACGCACACAATTGCAGAGAGTATCTGCAGCTAGTAAAACCATGCCTGAGCATGAGGCAAATGGGAGTCAGCTGCTGTGGAGCAGCCCCATAGCCTCACACCTGGAATTAAAACAAAGACATATAGCCAGCAGCTGTGGTGCATACCTGTGATCCCAGCACTCAGGGAGGCAGAGGCAGGCAGATAGGTGTGAGTTCGAGGCCAGCCTGGTCTACAAAATGAGTCTGGGATGACAGCCAAGTCTACACAGAGAAACTGTGTCCCAAACAACCAAACTAGCTGGGCAGTGGTGGCACACACCTTTAATCCCAGCACTTGAGAAGCAGAGGCAGGCAGATCTATGTGAGTTTGAGCCCAGCCTGGTCTACAGAGCAAGTCTACACAGAGCCAAATCTACAGCCAAGGCTACACAGAGAAACCCTGTCTCAAAACACACACACACACACACACACACACACACACACACACACACACACA